TCGTGTACACTGAAGTGGCTGAAATTAAAAAAGATTTTTAACTCAACTCCTGATCTGACCGTCTGACTGGTCCAGAGCAATGTTTTTAGGCCAGTTTTCCATAAATGTGTATAGTAGTGTTTCCTTAAAGAGTGCAAGCAAATTCAAGATGCATATTCATGGGCTACATATGATGAATCCTTTTGATTTTAATTTAACATGTAAATGACCCAAGTGTAGAAGTGGAAGACTAAAGGGGGCATGTTTGTGCTCCCTTATGAAGTAATTTATGTTTGATGCAAAAACATCTGCTAAGCATGGACTATAAAAGATGGACGTAGCTTCTGGTCTGAAAAGTGAATCCCCTGCACAAATGCTTTAAAGCTGCACTTCTCTTAATGGCCACCAGGGGCTGATACCCATTGTTGGTAAAAGACCAGTCCTGTACAAGTCTGTGGGAATAACGGCCCTCATATGAGACCTTAGTAAATACCTGATGAGTTTATGTGGTCAGTCACTCGTTTGAAATGATGGTGAAGTATATTTTTTTAAAACAGGATTATTTGGGCTAATGATTTGTGATTAACAAGTTTTTAGCCAATGAGCATTCGGTTTTGCAGTTGGATCTATCCCTTGCTTCTTGTATCTGGCTGAATAAAGGCAAGATGGCGAGAAAGCTCATCTTGACAGTTTTAAACTTGACTTCACAAACCAGCAGAGCACATGAGAGTAGCTGCGCTTTGGGTAAACTCAGAAAAGTAATCACTGATTTTTCTGGAGTTAATTATGCCTAATGGAAATGTTGCAAAAAACCTAATTGACGACAACAAAGACATCCATTTGTTCGTCCATCAATCCATCCACCTGTCCAGCCATCTGTCTATGCATCACCATCCATTATCTTCCATTATCTTATCTGAGGTCGGGTTGCGGTGGTAGCAGGCTAAGCAGATTATTCCAGACATCCTTCTTCGCGCTCAGCCTTTCCAGTTCCTCCAAGGGGATTCTAAGGTGTTCCCATGGTAATAGACCCAGCAGGTTCTGGGTCTTCCCCAGGGTCTCTTCCAGTTGGATGTGCCTGGTCTCCTAACCAGATCATCAGACTTCCTCAACTAGCTCCTTTCGTTTCGTAGAAGCAGCAGCTCTACTCTAAAGATCCCTCTGGATATCTGAGCTCCTCATCCTACCGCTAATGCTGAGCCCAGCCACCCAGCAAAGGAAGCAAAGCTACTTGTGTTCACAGACTTAATTCAGAAGTTGAATCAATGAGCTGAGTGCGTAGGGATCATCTACAAAGTGTAACAGGAAAAACTAAGATACTTCAAACACATCACTGGTCTTCTGTTGGTTTTGCTACCTTAGTGTTGGAATAAAGACTTTTGTACTGTTTCATGAATATCCTGCAGCTTAATTCATTTTTTTTTTTTTTTTTTTGTATTGGTTTTCTGTGTTGAGCAGTCACTGGGAGTTGTTTGAGTGTAAATGTTCCTCTTTACAGTTCGAGGGTGCTGTGTGGGATTGGTGAAGAAACACTTGGTGTATTGTCACACTGACTTTTAAATCCAAAGGAGCTGTAACAGAAATTGAGCTCATTAGTGCTGATCACGAAGCCCGCCGTGTCTGTGATTTATATGTGGTGGGATTAAAGAGGCGTCACGCAGTTTAAGTGACTCCAGAAACATTTGGCTGTCCATTTAATCTATTCCTTCTCAGCATGCTGTTACACAGACTTTCCAAAATGAGCTGTTTGCCATTTAGGAGAAAAACATGACTCTTTTTTTTCATCTCATTTCACTCCTGATTGACAGAACATTTACACAAATTATGGGGCTTTTCAGCAGGATGGTATTTAACAGAAATGTTTGTCTGACAAGATGATGGTGATTCACAGTAAAGTGTAGATTCTCATAACTTCACAATAATAAATACTAACCTGTACGTAGTGTTTTCGTCCCCCCATAATGAGCATGCCCTGTAGTGTTTTAGAGCTTTAAGAACAACTTGAAACATCCTGACTTTGGCTTTTTTTTGGATGTCTCTCTTTTAGCACCAAACATTTATATTTAGGTGCAAATAACACACTGCTACTCGCAATGGAAAACTGCTGGCACATCTCAGTAAATTTTAACTCAAATACCAAAAAAAAAAGACGTTTATCAACAAAAAAGACAATTTCTTACCTCATTTTTGGTGGAGGTAAGAAAAGACAACCTGTGAAAACACCTAAAAGTTTTACAAGTTTAGACACGTTCAACCTAAAGGAAACTGCTTGCTTTAAGCAGAGCCATTCTACTTCCTACTGATCCCATTGTACAGCAGTTGGCTGAATTGAAGCCTAGCTAAAATACATATTTGATTGCATGCAAAATGTGGAAGTAAACAAAACATTTCTTACAGACTGGCCAATTTAGCCATATAAGCTAGCTTTCTGCTAATTAATGCTGGTTGGTCTAAGGTTTTACAGGGTGTTCTTCCTTGACGGTACCCATTTACAAGCAATAACTTGAAGTCAGAAGCTCCACAGCAGAAACTTCCATGTGTGCTTAGGAAACATCTGGATTTAGTAGTTTATCACGAGGTGTTAAATTAAAATGACAGATGATATAAAGTGTCTTATCGTACTGTGATCTTCCCAATATTAACAGAAAGATGTTTCACTACAATTGAAACCCACAGAGAGAGAACAAAGAAATGTTCATGTTGTCAAACCCTTGGTTAAATGATCAAAATTATAATTTTTTAACCCATGAAATGTAATCCGACAATGTTCCTGCTCACTCTGCAGAATGTGTGTCCTTTCTAAAAACTCCCAGTCCACAGAGTGTATGTTCACAGTTATATTAAAAGTTCTTTATTGTAACTTATGGTGTGTTTACATTAATAAACATTAACTCTTCAAACGTTTGGCACTATGTCAAAAAAGGCGTATTATGTGAAATCAGTCGTCTGTGTCAGGATGCTTCATTGACTCACGTTTCAGGGTGTTTGCTTTAATAACGGTAGATGACTAGTGACTGTCAAAGCTGGACTGGAGATTGTTTGTTTGCTCAGTACATATATAAGAATTGTTATAAATGACACACAAAAGATGACGAGAGCAAACCTGTGGAAGAATCTGTAACAGCCCCCAAAAAGAAATCCAAAGCAAACCTTTTTTATTTGGGGCAAAATCTGCCAACTTTTTAAGCATTAAAAAACATAAATAAATAAAAGATTTACTGGCAATTCTGCACATGTATTGTTGGTGTCCTCGAGGCCACTGAAACTGAAGCTAAATTGGTAATCAAAATCAAAATAACTTCCCAGAGAGGGATGCAAGTGGTGAGACTTGCTTATAGAAAGACTTTGGCTTTATTCCTCAGTGGTTCTTGTGCTGGCATCACAATAACTGGGAATGATGGCCATGTCATTCCTGAAAATAGAACCATTTCTGGGAATTTTCCTATTCTAGAAGGTCAAACATTACGGAACATGCTCATTATGGGGAGAGATTGCTTTGACATTTGGGAATGCGGGTGCACAATGATTAGCTTTCAGTCATTTTTTTAAATAACCAACTAATTGATACAACTTTGACAGTCAGTGACTCTAAGTTTGAATAAGAGTTTTAACTAAAACTTTTATTCTGGAGGTGGTTAGCTCAGTAGCCACTAACCAGGTAGTCCCAGTGCTTCCTGACTTCCTGGTGACTAGCCTGACCCCAGATAAGCTTGTCCTGAGGTCAAATGTACTTTACCTTCTCTGTCTTGGACTCCACCTCCTAACCAGAACCTTCAGTAAGTGTTAAACTGGTTTTTGTGCTGTTCCACTGAGGAGACTGAGACTCTAGAGAAGAGTAACGAGTGCTAGCGTCAGTCTAAGCCCACAGAGTTTGAGTTCGCTTTGAGAATCAGCTGATTTGTTTGTCATAAAGAGTCTTGCAGCTAAAATGTTTGCAGATGCAAGCATCATCCAAGCTGCCAATGCCACAAAAAAAGTCTGACTCTGTGGGAAACACTTAAATTGGATAGATTTCCACAAACATTTCCACATGCTTAAAAGATCCTGCTGCAATGTCCAAATACCAGGAAGGCTAATGACATTACCATTAGCTACAGCTGCTCTTTGTGTGTGGTGGTATTTGGAGAATAGTGGTATGCTAAAATGCGCTTGCTTATTTTAACAGCTTATGTTTTATGTTTATTTGAAATAAATAAAACATGAGCTCTAAAACGAAAACAAAAAAGATCTTGATGTCACACCGGACTGCAGAAAATCCAATTTTGATGGGAATTTCATCTGACCAACACGTTACACATCAAGTGCTTTATTTGATTACGAGCTCCAAAGATCTGGATGCACATTTTCCCGTCAGCTGCTGTTGTGGCGTCGCTAGGACACTTCTCAGGAATTTGTTTTCAGGAACAAACAGATCACTGAGCCGGTCTGTTTTTACACCTATTGTTCTGTTCCCACACGTTAACCAGGATGCACGGGTACTTAAAGGTTTTTCACAAGCCAGTCTGGGTTTTCACAGAAGTCTCGTCACCATTGTAAACCACTTCCTTGATGGGTTTCTTGTCAGTCAGACAGGTGGGAAAATCAACATTATAGGTCGACGATGTGGGGTTTGTGTGAGAGGCCGAGACAATCGTAAACGTTTTTGAAATGAAAAATTGTAATCGGTGTCAGAAGCCCTGGGAGCCGACTCTGCCCTGCAGTTAGTTTTGGAAAAACTGGATCATGACATGCTTTCTCAGCACAGCTCTGATGAATCTGATCCTCAGTGGACACACTGGTCATGAGGCTGTGAGACGGGTATGACAGGACTGGAAAAAATGTGACGTTCTGAAGGCAGAGAATATAGCAATGTTTGTTTTGACCTTAAATTGAGATTGGGGAAAATATTCTGCTTTTAATTTAGGTCGGTGTATAAATACAGACTTTATGTTTGTGCAATCTGGCATCGTTTTCAAGTGAGGATGAAGAAGAAATGCAAAGGCACTGCAAAATGTAATGAAGCCTGTTTTTCTGTCTTACAGAGAGGAGGTTCACAATCACTGTGTGCGCTGGAGGAAGAGGTTTACCTTTGTGTCCAAAATGAGCGCCAACCCCCACACTGGAGTTCTGGACCCGTCTGTCTGCAGGGTGTCAGTCAGGAAGGTACGCCTGTCAAAGTGGCCTCGTCAGCTCTGGGGACAAACTCTAGGTTTCTAAGCTGCTCGAAAAGATGAAGGGAACACTCGATCGCAGCAAAACACAAAGTCAGCTAAACTTCAGGGAGATCAGCCGGTCCAGTTAGAAATAATTCAATTCAAAATTTACTTGTATAGCACATTTAAAAACAACAGAGTTGACCAAAGTGCTTCACTATCGCTTAAAAACAAGAGAAAATGATAGAGAAACAAATACAGATAAATTAGAAGACGGTGAATTAACAATAAAAACATAAAACAGGCCTGATGGTGCTCATACTGAACTCGAATTAAAAGCCAAAGTAAAAAATGGAGTTTTAAGACTCGATTTAAAAGACTGAATAAACTCTGAAGTACGAATCTCCTCTGGCAGATTATTCCAGAGCCTGGGTGCTGCTACTGCGAAGGCCCGATCTCCTCTATGCTTCAATCGAGACCTTGGTTGTGCTAAGAGCATCTGGCGAGATGATCTCACTGCTCTTTTGGGGTCATACATGTGGAGGAGTTTGTTTAAAATAAACTAGGCGCCATATTATTTAAAACTTTAAAAGTAAAAGAATCTTAAACTCAATACGATATTTTACAGGGAGCCAGTGTAAATTTGCTAAAACTGGAGTGATGTGTTCATACATTTTAACACCTGTTAAAAGACGTGCAGCGGCATTTTGGACGAACTG